TCCGGGGAAAATCTCAGGGAGCCAGATGCGCTGCCCGCTGGGAGCGCCCCCATTTCTCTCGGGTCCCTTTCTGAAAAGGGCATCACCACAAACATCAGGGCAGAACTATGCTCTTTTGCCTCTAAATGTCTCAGGCATGTGTTTTCAGAGCTGGCCAATAGCTAGGTAGGTAGGTGGATGGATGGATGGATAGATGTAGGTAAGTAGACAGACAGACAGACAGATAAGATACAATTTCAGTCAGTCACACAGACAATCGCTGGACTCACTGCTAACAAAAAACTCTAGTAGTTGCTTAGAAAACCTACAATGTAGGAATCAAGCTAATAAAATGATTCATCTTGTCCAGTTATGCTATACAAGGTAACCTTCTTCATTCTGTTTTTAGGCACGTCTTTACAGTGCGATTCCAGAACACAAGGACCCCTGGGCTCGGCCAGGGCCTGCTAGGGCGGGAGGATGTGCGACACTGAGCGCCCAGCGCAAACGCAGGTCCCCTTTCTTACGAGCAGCAGCGGGCTTACGTGAGAAAGCCCTTTCCATGAAATTTTCCAAAGATGTCGGAATATTTTCAAAATAAAAGCCTAATTCGTAGCTTTGGTAACGGGGCTCTGCGGCTTATATCAGCTCAAAGCTCTAAATAAATGCAAATGCAAAAAAAAAAACAAAAACTGCAAGATGTAAACATCTGCCAGGCAGCAGCGTACTACCTGTCGCTGGATGCCGCTGGATGCCATTTGGCCTGTCAGAAAGCTTTTATTTCCTAATCTCAGAATCTCCAATTGGAACACATTCAGGTTCCTAGAGCCCGACCTCCCGGCCAGCGCTGCAGTTCGTACCCTCACACCACCGTGCGCTGTGCGCGCCGGCCCTGCACGCGGGCCTCAGGCGGTGCTCCCAGACCCTCCTGCCGTAGAGGCCTGCGCCATGTGCTGACGCCCCTGCCTGCACAGCGAGCACCCCGTACACCCCAGGGGCTGGAGCCTGCGTCTGTACGACGCAGTTGACTGCACAGAGGTGCCCTCCCCCGGAGAGTCACAGTGGGCTTCATAAACTTCTCTTGGGTCATCTATGCGCCCCCCTGCCCACATTCTGTTATGGAGGCATTGTTCATATGGGAGAATTCTGAAATTTCTGTAAAGCTATAAGCATGAACGTGTCTGTCATCTTTTTATTACAATAGGAAAAACAGAGTGATACCGTATCTAGTTGTGGCTGGCTGTTTGGTAAGAGGTAGGGGTAAGCCGATGGGAGCGGGCAGAGCCGGGGACCAAGGGGGCGTTTCAAGGAGGAACAATGGACCGTCCCAGAGGCTCCCAAGAGTCAGGTGAATACCGGGAGGGGCCTCCTGGATTTAGCAACTCACGGTTGTGAGTGATCACTCCGGGGGCTTGGGCGAGTGGCGCTCGCAGACCGGAACCAGTGCTGAAGGGCGCAGTGGTGCTGAAGCCGTTTGGCTCCGGGGCAGGGGGGAGGCTGAAGGGATGCTTGCTTTCGCTCTGGGGGATGTTCTAAGGTTAGGAAGCTTAGGTTTAAATGGTGATGGTAAGGACCCTGAAGAGAGAAGGCGTCTTGGGGGCGTTCACAGAGGAGGGACTTGAGAGCGTCATTTAACCTGCCTGGGCTCCAGCGCCCTGGCGTGTGGCCTGTAGGGCTCCTCGGTCTGGTTTTCGAACTGCGCTCTCAAGGCTGTTCTCAAAATACTTGGGTTTCTGCTTCAGCCACAGAGCCTGGACCACTCCCTTAGGTGTTCTTAAATAATTTTTATTTTTAGCAGTTTAACACGTGTACATAGTTTAGAAAAGCAAAGTAACAGTTAAAAAATTATTATTAAAAAGCAGAAACTCCTGCTCCACACCCGCTCACTCCCGCCACTCGCGGTCCCTGTGGGCAGTTCAGCTGGTATTTATACCCGTTCACCTGCGTTAAATTCTTAGCTCCGTGTTTCTTAAGCGTGGACGCCCCCTGATTTCTGTCCCACCCCACCCCCTTGCCTGAGTCTTTTCCCTTCGACATGGTGCTGTCCCGGTTCTTGGGGGACAGTGGTTTCATTGTTACATGGTTGCGAATGGTGTTCCCTGACTCCGCCTCCCCTGGGGAACGACCTGGCATCTGTCCCGCCAGCCGTACTTGCCCCTTGTGTCTCATTTACCCTGATTTCCGCTCATGATGGCTGTTTCCTTCTAAGTAGTCCACCACCTCAGAAACCAACCAGTGCTTTCCCTGTGCTTCCTGACCCCGGCTTTCCTGGGGACTCCCTCGAGGATGTCCCCCTGGGACTGGCTTCTCGCTGTGGGAGCCCTGCCTCCTGCTGCCACGGCTTCCTCTCCAGCTGACATGGATCAGGTCACAGTTTCGGGTCTTAAAACAGTGCAGGGCTCTCCAGCGGGAGGGGGAGGGGGAGGGGAGCAGTCATCCTGGTCTCATTAGAACTAAGATCCACTCAGCCGAGCTGCGGTCCCGCGTCCGAGACCTCAAAGGGTCAGCGGGGGGGCCCCGGGCCCAGAATCCCGCCTGTTCCCCTGCGGCACAGTCCCCGCCCCCACCCACGCCCGGCCAGCAGCCTGGGCCGTCGCCCCGCAGCCCTGTGCGGGCCCCGCCGCCTGTCCCCCCTTCTCCAGCCATCACGACTCGGCGGATCAAACGCAGATTCTCGGGGTGACTTTGGATGGCTCCTGTCACAACGTGGATCGTTTTTTGTGACAGTGAGTCAGAGGGGACTTGGAAATCCTATTGGCGCGTGTGCCCTTGTGAAAGGTAACCTCTCAGCTGAAATACGTTGACATCAATGGCAGGAAAGGACACTCGTGTTTCCTGTAGGTCCTCCTCAAGGGACTGGCATCATTCTGTAGCCACTGCAGTCACAGACACGGAGGCAGCCGTCCCTGGTCCCCGTCCCTGGAGAAGGAAAACTGTTCTGTGAACAGGCGCGTGAGAAGACCCCGTAGAACACGCAGCTGAAAATTGTGTGGCAAACGGAAATACCAGCCTGTTGGTTAGATGAGAGTTTCATTTATATAAAGCCATCATGGGATCAGGGCAATGGAACTGATTTCAAGGTAAATTCAGTGATTTGAATGTTTTACCTGATGTTGGTTTGTTTAGAAGCAACATAGGACTGAGTCCAATGAAAGGCAATGTCGTTTTTTGTTTCTTCTATGGATTGATGGTAATGAAAAACAAAATTAAATTAAAAATCACACCAAATCTCTTCTGACTCTTTTTCTTAAATTCTCCTCCTTCTCTGCTGTACTTTACTATTAAGTGACAGCTGTTCCCCGCCCTGGCTGGTTTGGTGTTCTAGGTACCGTATTTTGCCATATATAATGTGCACCCACGTTTTTGGCCCAAACTTTTGGGAAAAAAATCTTTCCTTCTAATTTTTTTAATCCAATGTATTTATTTATTTTAAAAACAAAACCAAATATCATATTCCAGGGTATTATTTTGCATACGGATATAGTTATTGCTTTCTAGAGCTATACTTTTATTTTTTTTAAGATTTTATTTATTTGTATTGATTTATTTTTAGGCAGAGGGGAAGGGAGGGAGAAAGAAAGGGAGAGGAACATCAGTGTGTAGCTGCTTCTCACGCGCCCCCCACTGGGGACCTGTGCCTGGACCAACCCAGGCACGTGCCCTGACTGGGAATTGAACTGGCGACCCTTTGGTTCAAAGGCCGGCACTCAATCCACTGAGCCACACCAGCCAGGGCTAGAGTTACACTTTTAATGCGTAAGCATAAATTAAAGAATTAAAAGCATTTATATAGATACAGAATTAGTACGGCCTATGTTTAATGCACATCTTTATTTTTCCCTCAAAAATTTGGGCAATACAGTGCACATTATACACACCAAAATACGGTACTACGGCTCTTTCATTGACTGCTGTCCTCACTGGTACACCAGCTGTGCTGGTCCCCGTCTGAGACTGGATGGCGACCGACCGCTGGAGGGGGTGGCAGCTGTAGGGGAGGGGTGGTTTGAGGTGGGTGACGGCTGGAGGGGCAGTGATGGCTTTAGGGGCAGCGACAGCTACTAGGGGCTGGTGGCCAGAGGGGCGGTGGCGGCCGGAGGGGCGCTGGCTGGAGGAGCAGCTCGTCCTCCCTCGTCACCTCCTGGCCTGGCGCGTCAGGCCCCCCAGAGCAGCGGCCTCCGCTCCCCGCAGCCAGGGTGGCGGAGAGCTGCCTGTGGCCCGGGCTCCCCTCCGGGCGCTGCCTCGCTGCCCACGGCGCCTCTGCTGCCTTCCCCTAAGGCGTGGAGCGTTGGCTTGCTGTCTTAGCTGCTTTTTCAAATATCAGTGGTGCTGCCCCTAGAACTAGAATGGCATCAAAAAAACTTCCCTCTACTCCGGTTTCTTCATCTCACTCTCAAGGTGCCGAAGCTCGGATCCGCTTTTCCGCCTGTTAGGCTCTTAGCGCGGACACATGAACATCCACGCGGTGGAACAAGGAACGCGGAAAACAGCCTCGTGGAGACAATGCAATCGTTCACACTCCCATAGTGCCGTAGCGAAAATGAGTTAGGGGGACCCCAGGAAGGCTTGCTCCTGCCTAGTCACAAAGACAGTTCCAGTTTGGGGCAAACTTATAAAATATGTTTCGATGAGTTCTCTTCAAGTATCTACCCCCCTTCTTAAAAAAAAAAAAAAAAAAGGCTAGGGACTAGTGCCTCCCTTCTCTTTCTAAGCAAGTGACAGATTCCCTCAGCCAGCCCCCGCGGAATGGCCCCGCTTCAGGTCAGACAGCCCATCCCAGCAGCCGCTTCTGTCTTGAACCATCAGTTGGAAACTGAACAGGATAGGCAGACATCAGATCATTGTGTGGCATTTTTCTCCAATGGACTAAAGCCATCGATTGAAGAGCTTTAATTGAGAGCTATTGATAAATCATAATGGTAAACAAAAAGAGACCCTACTCCTTCCTCTACGCACTTTACAAAACACGGGGTACAGGAAAATCTGCGAGCATAATAACACTGCCTTCTTTCCTGTTTCAGGGAGTGCTGTCGGTTTTTTGGAGACAATGGCTTGACTTTGAAGGTGTTTTTTACCAAGGCGGCCCCTTTTGGTGTTCTGTGGACACTCACAAACTACCTGTACTTACACGCAATAAAGAAAATCAACACCACGGACGCCTCCGTGCTCTTCTGCTGCAACAAGGCCTTTGTGTTCTTGCTCTCGTGGATCGTTCTCAGGGACAGGTTCATGGGCGTAAGGGTAAGTTCCGCGCTCCCTGTCTCCCCGGCCCCCGCACGCGTGCCCACCATTCCCGCCCCCCGGCCTGCTCAGCCCCACGTGCCAGCCGGAAGCCTAGGCAGCTGGCCACGCCCCTTCCCATTCGCAACAGAACAGGGGCCCGGCGGAGGCCCCGCTTTGCCCAGCTTCTGGCTTGCAAACCACGCCAGACAAGCATTCGTTAAAGCACCTTTCATTGCAACATCCCAACGAGCATTCCCTACAGTGTGTGCCAGTCGGGGACCCAGCCTGGGGTCGGGGTGTGCCCCCCGCCCCGCCCCCGCGAGCTCAGCCCTCGCTCTCTGCTAACACTGTCGCTGTCCGTGCGGGATGGAGCCGCAAGACACAGAGTCCTCCGCCGGCCCCACGCGTGCAGCCCCGGCAGGCCCTGGGTCTGGACCGTGCGCACGGAGACAGAGTGAACCCAACACGCTTGTGCTAAATCCAACTGTGGAAGGACAGATCAGGGGAGAGTGAAATGGCCCCCCTTGCATTACCTTTTGTTATTACAACCGAGACTTAGTAAATTCTTTTGAAATTAAATCCAAGTTAGGTTAGTCCAGTCTTAGCACCATTGTATGAAATACGTAAATGCCGATCAAATAGACGCAGAAATATAGAGGGACTAGCCCTGAATAAAAAGACAAGGTGACATTTAATCTTGACCAAATCCTGGTGGTTTCTGCTCGCTCCCTCTAGTGGCCAGGAGCTGCTATTGCCCTGTGTGCCCCTTGCCACAAACAAGGACGAAAAGAGGACTGGGCCACAGCTTTAGCCCTCTTGTAGGCAGAGCATGTGTCACTCCTCCCTGCCCCTGAGCCCACGCAGGGCAGGACAAGGACCGAGCAGAGCGCTGTGCTGGCTCCCAGCAAGGGACTGACGCCAGGCCCCATCATGTCCTTCGCTCATTGTCCTGGGAATAATGACATCACCCTAATGGTGGATTCCCGCCCACCTACTAACTCAAACAGCAGTGGGGACGTGAGTCAACCGCTGGGCAGTATTTTTAGCTTGCGTGGGTTGGGGGGGATTTTGTTTTGAGGCTTAGTGTTAATTCTGGAATTAAAAACTCACTGCGCTACCACCCAAAAAAGTGTTCAGCAAATCAACGATCTGATTCATCTTCCCAAATAAGGCAGGTAGTCCCAGCAGTAGTGCAGACAGCTTTCCCGGCAGGACCCCCACGACATGGACGTCCTGGGGCCCGTTGCCACCAACTCGCACCCTTTGTTACTTTATTTTGATGCAAAGAGCCAAGGGAATTCATGGAACTTTCTGGTGTGACTCTGACGTGCAAAGCAAATCCCAAATGAGACCGTGTTCCTGGGAAGAGATGCTGTAAGGTTCATTCTGCACGTAAGCACAAGAAAACAGAAATGTGCTGAGGCTGAGGGAAGGAGGTGCGGAGATACCTGAACCCTCCTAGATGCACAGAGGGCAATGTGGCCCGTCAGACCTTACCCTTGTTCCCACGCGTGGCTGAGGGGGTTCCCCCACGGCCCTGCGCTGATACACTCCGGCCGTTGAATACCGATCAGCGTGCTGGATCGAGGCCCTGGCACTAGGCCAGGCTGGAGCACAGGTCCGAAGAGCCGGCATGGACGAGGGAGCTTTGGTCTCTAACAGTCATCACTCCTCTTAAAAGGATGTGACCTGTCCCCTGAGAGCGCCCACTCTAAGCCATGGTGGGCCTCCCTCCGTCATCTTCAAGAATTCAGAGAGCTGGCAAAACCTGTGAGACCCCAGCTGCCGGCCGGAGTGACTGAGCTTCCCCTTGATTCGCAGGGGGCGATGTTCGCCCAAGGTAATGTCTTCCTGGGTTGCGGATTCTCTTAGACTTTGCTCAGACGCTGGGTTACCTGGCACCTTCCGCTGGGTCGCTTCCAAGGACTGGAGAGAACTGACATTGTCCCCGTCCTGGGGGCTGAGCATACACGCCCGAGGCCCCCAGACGTAAAGGGGCCCGAGCGTCAGGTTGTGGAGCAGGTGGCAGAGGGGACCCGGGTGATTAAGACAGTCGCTCAGATCACAGGGCTGCCCTTCCTGGGACATGTGAACGGGCCCAGGTCACGCGGACAGAACGGAAAGAGTACAGCGGGTTTCCTAGTGCGGGGCAAGCCCAGCCACTTGTGGCCACGGAGGTGACTGTCAGAAGGAGCCTGCGCTGGCCTGTGTCACCCTGCGACCCTGAGCTTACGTGTGCCGTTCACGTTTCCTGGCTCCAGACTCAGGGACTCTGACGCGGCAGGCACGCGGCAGCCCAGGGTCAAGTCTGGGTCTCGGTTCTACCCTCACACACTGTTGGGCCTGGAGCAAGTCACTTAACATCCCTGAGCCTTAGGGACCTTGTTTCAAAACAGAGCATTAGTGCTCATCTTCTAGAACAGCTGTGACGAGGAGACGACCTGCCTGGTCCGGGAAACTCAGTACGTGTGCGCTTGTCTCAATTAGAGGGGTCGGGGGATCGGCCCGTTCTCTGGGTGGCAGTGACCTTGAAGGAGGCAGTTCTGTGTAAGGAGAGCAGCCACAGAGTGACAGCAGTCAGGCCTCTGGGGCATGACACACGGCCCCTTCCAAAGCTGAAGCCCACCCAGCTGTCATCGGCAGCTGGATGAAGAAAGAGGTGACTAGGTGAGCCCAGCCCAGTCCACATCTCAGGGGAAACCGAAGACGGGATCGCCTGGCGGTTCAGAGGTTGTTCCTAACCGTCCAGCACAGCTCAGGCCTTCAAACCAGGGGGGTGTCACGAAGGAGCGGGAAGGCCAGCTAAGGCCGCCCACGTGGGGATCCTGGATTTTTTCCATGACCACTTCAAGCTCAGGCAGGGGCCCTCCCAGAATGGTGGCTCCGGCCTCTGACTCTGACTCCCTTCTGTTAGGAAGGCTGTCCCCTGCCACCCAAGCACAGCACAGGAGGCCACAGAGCCTGGGGGAGGCCTGGGGGCCACCGCCCAGCCCCTTTTTCAGTCTCCGATGTAAGAGGGATGCACTAGAGGATCTCCAAAGTCTCCCCAAATGCTAATATTGTTTGAGTCCATTAGAAGTCCAGGAGACTTCTGGTCAAAGTGGAGGCGTAGGGAGACACACTTCGCTTCCTCACAGAACCACAGAAAGCATTACAACTAAAACTCAAAACAAGTAACATCCAGAACCGTCAGAAAACCGAGCTGTATGGAAGTCCTTTAAAACCAAGGATTTAAAGAAGCCACACTCATCCAGATGCGTAGGCGGAGCGGAGTCGCAGAGACAGATGGAGAGGCGTGGAGACACGGTGTGGCACGGAGAGGTGGCGCAGCCGCAGAGCAGACGATCCCACACTCACGTGTGGCGGGTAAAAATCAGAGGGATGCCTCGGGGGCGAGCGATCCCCGCCCCAGGCCAGACCCATGGCCCAGGCTTCCAGCACCAGGAAGTGAAATCCCCTTAAGTTCTGGCTGTGAAAACCAGGGGTGGGTTGCGGTGGCGGAAGAAACTGCCAGATTTTCAGGAGACTTGACTTAAAGGAACACCGTGGGCTTAGAACGTACGCAAAACCACCCGCTCTGGGATTCACCAGGGCAGCAGCTGGAAGGGCGCCAGTCTCTTATGGGAAGTGGGTGAAGTGACTAGAAACGGGGCGAGTGCCAGGCAAACCTCCAGAAGCCAGGCAGCAGCACTGTCCCCTCTTCAAGTCCTCCCCCCACACAGAGCCACAGAGCCATGAAGTGGGTGGCCTCACCCTCGCGATTACATAAGACTCTCCCCACAACAATGGACAGGTGCCTTTGCTACATTAGGCCACGCTACTAAGACAGGGAGTCAAAATAGTTATACCTAATACACAGAAACAAACGCGGAGGCTGCCAAATTGAGGAGACAAAGAAACATGGCCCAAATGAAAGAACAGAACAAACCCCAGAAAAAGAACTAAATGAAATGGAGATAACCAGCCTATCAGATGCGGAGTTCAAAACACTGATCAGGAGGCTCAGAGAACTCATTGAGTATGGCAACAACATAAAGGAAGAAATGAAGGTTACATTAAGTGAAATAAAGAAAAATCTACAGGGAACTATAGAGGGGAGGGAGCTGGGATTCAGATCAACAACTTGGAACATAAGGAAGAAATAAACATTCAACCATATCAGCAAGAAGAAAAAATAATTTAAAAAAACAAGGATAGTATAAGGAGCCTCTGGAACATCTCTAATCGTATTAACATCTGAATCATAGGGATGCCAGAAGGAGAAGAGAAAGAGCAAAAAATTGAAAACTTATTTGAAAAGATAAAGAAAATTTCCATAATTTGACCAAAAAAAAATAGACATACAAGTCCAGGAAGCACAGAGTGCCAAACAAGTTGGACCCAAAAGGACCACACCAAGACACATCATAATTAAAATGCCAAAGGTTAAAGATAAAGAGAGAATCTTAAAAGCAACAAGAGAAAAGAAGAGAGTTACCTATAAGGGAGTTCCCCTAAGATTATCAGCTGATTTCTCAGAAGAAACTTTGCAGACTAGAAGGGACTGGCAAGAAGTATTCAAAGTGATGAAAAGCAAGGACCTACAACCTAGATTACTCTGTCCAGCAAAGCTATCATTTGGAATGGAAGGGCAGACAAAGTGCTTCCCAGACCAGGTAAAGCTAAAGGAGTTCATCATCACCAAGCCCTTATTACAAGAACTGTTAAAGGGACTTATTTAAGAAAAAGAAGAAAATCAAAACTATGAACATTAAAATGGCAACAAATTCACAACTACCAAGAGCTGAATCTAATAAAACAAACTAAGCAAACAACCAGAACAGGAAGAGCATCATAGGTATGGAGATCACATGGAGGGTTATATGCTGGGAGGGGAAGGGGGAGTATGGGGGAAAAGTAGAGGGATTAAGAAGCATAACTGGTAGGAACAAAATAGACAGGGGGAGGTTAAGAATAGTATAGAAAATGGAGAAGCCAGAGAACGTACACGCATGACCCGTGGACAGGAACTAAGGGGGGCATTGCTGGAGGGAAGGGGGGTACCAGGCTGAGGGGGAGAAAGGGGAACAGTTGGGACAACTGTAATATCATAGATCAATAATTTTTTAAAAGGAAGTGTCCAGGAAGGAAAATTATTGAAGAAGGATATTTAAAAATTAGCCGAGTCTTTCCTTTTTTCATTTTCCAAAACTATACAGATCTAAAATGTATAGGCCATCACATGTTCGGCAAGAGCAGGGAGCGGCGCTCGCTGGGGGGGTTCCCCAACTTAGACTTCTCTGGAGCTGCCCTGGCCTCCCCATTCCCTCCTTGATGCTCTGGCTCAGGCCTGGCTTCCCTTCCCCCGCAGCCTGGCCTCTGAGACGGAGGTCACCGGGGCGCTGGGTCCCAGCCCAGGGCTGGGCAGGGAATGACGGCAGAGCCCCGCGCCCGGGGAGGGCACCGGCCGGCTTCCGGTCTCCCACGCCTGTGCTGCTTCCTCTTCTCCAGCTACCGCTTCCCCAGCTGAGGCCGGGACGGCGGCTCTCGCCCCTCTTGATCCCCATCTGCCTGGATCCCCGAGTCCTTGCTGGAGAACAGTTCAGTGGGGTGCGTCGGGGGGGGCTGGGGGCGCAGGAACGTGTGGGAAAGAAGCGTGGGATTGGGGAAGTTCAGTTATCTTTATCTCACCCTCAGACTCGCTCGGGGTCGCCCTGCTGCAGGAGGCGAGGGCCATGTGGGACCAGGGGACCAGCGTGACTGGCCTTCCTGGAGAGGCCACCTTGGGGCATGACCCCTGACATGTTACGGCGCAAAATGTACAGTGCGCGCTTACTCTTTAAGGATAGACTGCACCGTTCAACGGATTGCCAGGCTGATGCCCAGAGAGTGGGTGCCCCGCAGCCTGCGTGGCCACCCCAGTGACTGTGCCGGGACCCCCTCCCCGAGGCACCGATGAGGGGACCACAGTCTCCCAGTGCCGCCCGTCAGAATGAACTCACAGGGCCACGCCTCCCCACATGTTGACCAGGAGGTCGGTGGCCTCCCCAAACTTCAGCCCCAAGTTGGAAAGACTCAGGTCCCTCTGGAGATGCATCGAGTCATCTGACATTTAGCTCCTTTCTTCCCTCCCTCTCTCTCTCCCTCCTTTTTCCGATTCCTTTTGTCTCTGGCTCCGAGCTCCATCTTTGCAGGACCTGGTCTTCTGGAGCCAGCCCCGCCCCAGGCCCCGCCTCTGCCCCTCCACCCCCCACTCCCCTGCCAGCGTGTTCACCTGCCCTTTCTTGTTTTCTTGGGAGAAAATCGCTGTTGACTTGCTGCTGCTTTCTCTTGATGAAGAGTTGTACACAGTGCACGTGGCATTTGAACATGAAATGTATGCAATGTGCTGGCTGAAACCACTAACCCAGAAAGAACGGCAGACAGACTAGGGCGCGTCTCTAGTGGAGGGCAGCGCCTCTGGGCGCTCAGTGTTTTGGTCGGATAGTCATCACGTGAGAATACGGCCGGAGGGGCCCGCTAGAATGAGCGCATAACTCAGACACTGTTTGAGACTCAGCTCTATTACCTTCATCAGCCTAACAGTTTGATATTTAAACCATGAAGGAAACTTCCGTTCAAATCTCCGAGTACAGTCAACGATGGCTCACTATGTGATCCCTACTTTCCTGTTTAGATACTTAAACACTGACTTTGCAATCAGACCGACCTGAGATTTGTCCCCCTCCTCTGCCACACACCCGCTCTGTGACTTTGGGCAAGTTCCTTAACCTCTCTGAACTGTTTTCATGTCTATGAAATGAAATGAAAGTATCTACCTATTTCGAGTGTAAAAGAGAAAATGCGTAGAAAACACTTATCCCGGGACCATGCAGTAATTCAGCTATTTGACGCTGTCAGAAGTAGCCGAGGTCAGTTCTGGATGATCCGTAGAGGGTGGAACGCTCTGCGAACCCAGGAGCGCAGACCTGTGTGCACGCGTCTGTTCTGCCCTCTGCCCCTGCTCCCCCCAGCGACGCCGATGGAGCTCCGTGGCCCCGCAGGTTAGAACTCGGCTTACCTTTCGAGCTACATCTTTCCCTCGGGAAATGCTACCTGAAGGACTTTATCTCCTGGGCACCCCGGCACTTGTACTTCGCACACGGCAATGGGAGCCTCTCCCTGGCACCCCCAGGGGCGCCTGTATCCGGAAGCCTGAGACCGAGGGGGCCGTCGGGGAGGCGCCTGTGCAGCTAAGAAAAGAAGGGGCGCCTCTAGGGTTGGGGCACGGTCTGTGGCCCTGGCAGGCAGGTGACCAGGTCCCTGTCAGAGGACCCTACTGCTGGTGAGGGAGCTGGGGCCGGGCTGTGCGGCCCTCACTGTGCCTGGCTGTCACGATGGAAAATACAGAGAAGCGAGGTCGCAGAAGGTGATGCCAGGTGCCACCCGGGTGCTGCCTGCCAGGCCCTGTCAGGGCCAGAGAGCCATCGCTGGGGTTACGGCCACTGCCTTCTCAGGTTTTCCAGAATCAGGGCGACTGGCCACCATGTGGCGCTAACTGCAGCACCCTCCTTGCTGCCAGCTGCTTCGGGTTCTTGGGTCGTGCCCGGCTTTGTCTCCATCTAAACAGGAACAAACGTTTAGATGGGGTGGGGCGGGGCACAGCCTTTGCTTGCTGTTCCCCAAAGGAAGATGGAAAAGCAGACCCCACTGTCCCCTCAGTCACTGAACTCCCGTGGGCATTTCGACTTCACTGGCACTAGGTGGCCCCCGAGTCCCCCCACCCCACCGCCCTGACCACCATCCGCTTCTTCTCCTCCAGATTGTGGCCGCCATCCTTGCCATCGCGGGGATCGTGATGATGACCTACGCCGATGGCTTCCACAGCCACTCTGTCATCGGCATAGCGCTGGTGGTGGGCTCTGCGTCCACGTCCGCCCTCTACAAGGTACGGCCGGGCGCGGCTCCGGGAGCTCCCGCAGCGAGCGAGATCGCAGCTGTCGTGAGGCCGGTGGCCCCGGGGCCCCTCTGGCGCCCCCGTGCAGGCCCTGCGCACACATGCGCCGGGCAGGCTGAGGCTCTGCCGGGCGGGCGGCGGCCCCCAGGCCTGCCCGTCAGTGGTCGAACCTTCGCAGCCTCTGGGGTGAAACGGGTGCTGGCGGTGGACCTTCTGAGTGAGATTAGCGAGGCCGTTGTTCCGCGAGGACTGGAGCAAGGCCAGGGGCCCCGAATGGCCGGCTCAGTGGTGGGGAAGATCGTTTCCCAGCAGATCGGACACGAAGGTTTCCGTATCTGGTGCGGCTTTGTCGCTTACATTTTTTGTGACATGATTTTGCGGCCACCAGTCCTCAGACGCACGGGTCCCCGTGCGTTTTAGGCAGCGTTAGGCACAGTGCTATATCCCGGGGACCATAAAATGTTTTTGGCAGAGTGTTGGGAGCCCTTGCACAGCATGTCCTAACTGCAGGTCTGGGGGGAAGTGACTTTTTCTGCCCGCACGCGCGCACACGTTTCTCCCCGCTCGCTCCCTCCGCTCCTGTTCTCCTTAGGGCCTCGTGGGAGAACGCGGATACCGTCTGCCCTCCAGGCTGGGGACGGGCCTGGAGGACTCCCTGAGAAACGAGTCCTTCGTTTTGAGACTTATTGGCCCTTCATGGATCCAGAGAAAATTCAATATTCTAGAAAGTTAGAGGAAAAGGCGTTTTCCCAGCTCTGTGCCTGACAGTCTATGGTTTTACCTTCAGGAGCTCCCGGCCCTTGCTGCCCACAGACAGGCACACACAACTCTTCCTCCTCGGAAACACGCGGCAGTCCCCGCGTTCAGGGGCTTCAAAGCCACCGTCCAATGGTGGATCAAAAGGCCTCGCCCAGAATATTTGCATGTTTATGGATATGAAGTAAAGGCTTATTTCAAAAAAAAAAAAAAAGGCCTCGCCCGGCCTCACTGGGCGGCTGCGCGCTGGTGGGAACGGGAGCGTGTGGGGCGCGGCCCACAGTGGACGCGGGTCCTCTGATCGACGCTTCCGTCTCCCGCTCTCCGCGGTGCACGTCCAGGGGGCCGGGGGTGGGGGCCGCACACAGCTACCGGCTCCCTGCACAGAGACCCGGCAATACCCGAGGGAGGCGCGAATGGGCTGAAAAAGGAAGAAGCAGGGAAAGGGGGCGGAACAAGAATGCAGAGCCTCAGCCGAGACCGCCAGCTCGCGCCACACAGGCCGCGCCGCGGGCAGCTCCGGCCCCGCAGTCACATCTGTCGCTCTCCTTCTGGCCTTCCACGGAGGGCCGGTGGGCAGGCGCCTCCTGCTGAAGCCCACGCGGGGCCTGCGAGGGGCAGGGCACAGCCTCCAGCCACGGAGCCGCGTCTCTCCACCTTCCAGCTGCAGAAAACGCCCCCGCAGCGCTGCCCTTTCTCTGGGGTTTTCAGCCCGCCCTGTAGAAAGTCGGAGATCAATTCCGGGGGCCTGAGAGGAGTGGGTGGTGGAGGCCGGTGTTCTCCGGCGCGCGTGTGGGCCTGTGTGTGTAGCCGCCTCACCTTCAGATGCTTGCAGCTGGGGCGCGGCGTCGTGCACGCGATGCCGACCTGTGGGACCCCGGTTCCTGGGGCGGGAGAGCCGCTCTGCACGGGATGCTGCCGAGGTTCGCTGCGGGCTCGGCAGGCACAGGCCAGGCCCCGCCGCCTCCGAAGTCCTGGGCAGCAGGGCGGGCTTGTTGCAGGCTGTCCGCCCGGCGCTCCAGCCCAGGCACTGGCTGCCCCATGGCCCCGCGGTGGCCGCGCCTTCACCCCCACTCCTGCTCCTTCGCAGGTCCTGTTCAAGCTCCTCCTGGGCAGTGCCAAGTTCGGAGAGGCCGCCTTATTCTTGTCCGTCCTGGGTGTGTTTAACCTCGTCTTCGTCACCTGCATCCCTGTCGTCCTCTACTTCACCAAGGTGGAGTACTGGAGCCCGTTCACCGCCATTCCCTGGGGAAACCTCTGCGGATTCGCCATCCTCCTATTGAGTAAGTGGCACCAGCAGCCGCCGGGGCTCCCCGGAGGCTGCGATTGCGGGGCGGGGTCCGCGCAGCCCACGGAGAGCCTGGTGCCCCCTGGCCACGAGGGAGGAGGATGGTGTCCTGCCACCCTTGGCCCCCGTGCTTTCCAAGGTCCTTGTGTTTCACAAAGTGAAGCCCTGGCGACGAAGATTCTGGATCCTAATTCCAGCAGCACCGTGGCGGCCGTGGTGCCTGTGGCCGCTGTGGCTCTAGGGGGGTGGGCGGGTAGTGCCGCGGCTGCAGGGCACCTGGCGACGCCACACACTCCTCGTGGGCTGCGGGGGAGCCGGTCTGTCGCCCCTGCCGAGCGCTAGAACATTATGATAGAGCGTCAGCCCCAGGGCCGGCAACACTGTCAGCGTTCAGCACAGGTCACCCCTTGTCACCACGGTTAGCCATCCCCGTCGTGACCCAATAAACGCCTGGTGCCAAGGAGCCGTGACCAGGAGAGGCCTCAGTGTTTCCGCCTGAAAGTGCAGCCCCAGCCCCGTCCACACGGCCAGCCCAGGGGCCTGGCCGGCGCCTCCGCATTGTTCCCTTTCCGAATTCCCTCCTTCAGAGCTCAGGGGAGAGCGGAGTGGACAGGATGTTTGTCCTTAGCCCCCAAGTCCCGGAGCCTCTGCAGGAACCTGAGCTCGCTGGCTCAGAGCGAAGGGCAGCGGTCGGAGGGTCGGGGTCAGGCCGCGGCCGAGGTGAGCCAGGGCCCGTCGCGAGTAACACCTGCTTCTTATTCTTATTTCAGCATTCAATGTCGTATTAAACTTCGGAATTGCTGTTACATATCCCACTCTGATGTCTCTTGGGATCGTCCTCAGTGTACCTGTGAATGCAGGTAAGTCTCCATGGCTTCTATATCTGCTTGTAACAGACACGCGCACTCAGCGCACACGCGCGCCCGCGCACTCACGTAGATCCCTGCTGTGCCTGGTGGGCAGCGCGTGTCTGACCTTCTGTACAGGAAGAAAGCACATAGGTAAAACATTGGTGTTTGTTATACATGCAGTATTTTCTCCATAATGGATCGATTTTCACTTACCACACAAGATACAGAAAGTCTAAAGCCCTCTTAGTTTTAAATGGTGTGGGGACCAGAGTATCATTAATATTAATAGTAAGAGTCGAAAGAATGTGTGGCAGAATAAATGTTAACGTTGGTGAGTGACTTCCTAGGGAGGAAGTTTGCTCAGGGCACGGGGGGCGTGGCGCAGAGATGGGCTGTAAACTGAAGACCGCGGACTTTCCAGGGGGCCAGGGCCTTTGTTTCCCACGGGGACTCAGCGCCCCCGAGCTGGCAGCTCTTCCCGAGACTTGTCCTCTCCTGCCGCCCGCCTCCTCCCTTTCCCTGGCTTAGGCCGGAACGAATTTGGGATTTTCCTCTCGGGGTCCCCCCGCCTCACCCCGACCTCCCCGTGTAGCGTGTGCTTGGCCAGGAAGGGGTTTGTCAATTGCTTCTCCCCGTGTACTCACCCCCGGGCCTGGCACAGCTGCCCCCAGAGCCATTTCTGGGACCCCTCCCCTTCCCACCCCCCCACACCCCCACCCCCACCCCCGCCCCCCGCCACTCACCCACTCACAGGCCAGTAGCAGTTAGTCCCCCGGGGAGCGGCAACCATGTACCTGTTGAATATGCCGCTGATGCACCTGCAGGCACAGGCAAAGCAGCTCCTGGTTTCTAGGCCTTTCCCTGTGACTTGGTTTCTCCCCGCTTCTGTACCCCACGTCCGTGCGCGCCTCACCGGGGCGGGCTCTCCGGCAGTGCCCCCGGGCAGCCTGGCTGGGCATCGGGGCCGGCAGCCCTCTGCCACGTGGAGGACGGTGGTCCCAACTCATCGCCTCCCCTACCGCCTGGTTGGTGTGAGAACCGAATGAAATAATCTAGGAGGCAGCACTTCCAAAGGCAGATGGCCCGTGACTTCGGGGACGCCGGCACAAAGCGGCCCGGCCGGTCAGCCTGCAGGGAGGCTTCTGAAAAGTAACTTACCGCCCGACCCTCCCTGCATCTTCTCCCGTCTCCGTGGTCGCGCAGCCCTCTCAGCGCAAGAGGCAGGTCCAGGCGGCCCCCGCGCGGAAGCTCCCTAGGAGAGAGATCAGAATCACTTCTTACTACTTACCTGCAACAGAAGAGGTTTCATAAGGCGTCGAGGGCAGAAGCAAAGGTGTCCTCTGTGGCCTGACCTGTCGGAGCAGGGCCAGCACTTGGCTCGGCCACTCCCTGACCCCTGTCACCTGTGCAGCTCAGGTGACCTGTTGGCTGACCACCCCCACCTGTTGAATTACAGAATGCTCTCCCAATATCAAAAGTTAAAGTGTTTCTCAGTTATAGTGGGATAAAAGAGGCACTTTAATTTCACAGAGGTTTTTTTTTTCAGGTTTAACTTTTACTCTTCCTAGTCTTTTTGGCCCACCCGCTAGACAAGGTGAGAGTCAGGGGGCAGGAAGTAGAGGGACAGGGGGCAGGTGACCACCAGGCCTCAAACTAGGCAGCCCGGGAGCCGCCCCCACGTGGAGACGGGGCGGGCAACTGTCCGGCCGGCCGGTTCTCAGGACCTGTGCGCACTGAGGAGCGCAAGCCCGGTCTCACAGGACGGTGGGATGGAAAGGCAGCCGGGGTTAAAGGGCAGCTCCGAATTCGCTCTCCCTGGATTAGGAAGGAAGGAGGGAGGGGGAAAGGGAAGGAAAGGAAAGGAACAAACCCTTGACATCCACACACTTTTGCTCTCTTGGCCATGAGGACAACGATGGTCTGGGTTTTCGTTCAGTGACGTGGCGTGAAGCCTGTCTCCCGTTTCATTCCCTCCCCTGACAGGAACGAGCCATGAGCTGCCTAGGCCTCTAATAACCCTATGAAGTCAACGGTGACGCAGGCGGCATTCGAGCCTCACACCAGCAACGTCCTGGGGTGGACCAAACATGTATATTTATGGTCTTCACAAACCCAGTTCAACTTCGGTCTTCAGAACATATAGATGTGCGTCTATGGTGAAATAATGCTCTTAAATTATAACAATAAAGTGTGCCATTGTAGAAAATGTGAAAAGTACCAAAAATATAAAGAAACTGTCACCGTTTCATCATCTGCTGCTCAAAGGGAGTCAAGCTTTGGTACATACAGGATGGGGCAAAAATAGGTTTACAGTTGTGAGTACATGAAACAGAGTTTATTCCTGTGTTGTTATTTATTATTGCATTATCTTCCGCACAACAACGGCAACCCTACTTTTGCCCCCACCCCGTATGTGTGCCTAACAGACCAGTGTCCGATCTCAGGCTGGTTGGGACACAAACACGGGTACCAGGCTTCCGGGGCGTGGTGGTGGGGGAGGGGGATGCGCAGGAGGCGCCGCTGCCCGCCTGGAGCAGACCAGCGTGGCCCAAGGCCGCAGCGCGCGCGAGGACCCACACCCGCTGAGCGACCGCGCTCTCTGTCCCTGCAGTGGTCGACCACTACACCAGTACGATCGTCTTCAACGGGGTCCGGGTCATCGCCATCATCATCATCGGCCTGGGCTTCCTTCTGCTGCTCCTGCCCGAGGAGTGGGACGTCTGGCTGATCCAGCTGCTCACCCGCCTCAAAGTGAGGAAGAAGGAGGAGGCGGCGGAGGGCGGCGCCGACCCCGGCTCGGGGCCCCCGAACAAGAGGAGAGGCCGCCCCTCCTTTGCCCGCTGACGACAGTCTCTGGGACTCTCTGGGACGCTCACGCCAATGATCGGGAGGTCTCTTCCCGACAGAACCTCAGTTGGTAAGGTGTACATACCTGTACAGTTTTGGTAACCTCGGTAAGTTACACGGTATTTATTGGCATGTCCAATTTGCTTGCTCTTGTTCACATCAGACCTTCCACTTAAGGCACCAACTCAACACGAGAGAAAAAAGGAGAACCTTCGCTCTTTTTAAATGAATGTAAAACAAGTTAAAACTGTCCTTGCCCAGGTCGTTTCGGAGGGCAGGCGTTCGTGAGGAGGCAGGGCGAACGTTTTGAATCTTAGCAACCGAAAATTACATTGCACACTGTGATTACTTTCCAGCTATGGTAGGTCATATTTTTTTTTAATATCAGAGCTTTACTCTTAATTTTAAGGGATCTCAATGAACCAAAAGATTACTTAGTTTGGGTGGTTCGATGGATGTGAATTGGTGATGCAGCAAAGGAGAGTGGATGTCAAAAACCGTCTGTAGGACGAGGCGGCGGCGGCAGCTGGCGGGGGCCAGGCCTGAGCCAGGTGGCGTCAGGGGGCGGGTATCCTGCGCCCCCGCCAACCTGCTCTCACGTGTCTGTGTAAGGTCACGCCAGAGAAATTACAGTGCCTTCTACAGAATTTCGTCTTTACCTGTGTGAAGCGAGGTGACTTCATAAGTCACTGGCGCCGTCTTATAATTTAAATGTAGAAACCTTTAGAAACAAACACAACTATATATTATGTGTGTGTGTACAAAAGTGACAAAGCGGTGACCGGTGTCATGGAATGCGGTTCTCAGTGTGCGATGCGCACACGAGGCAGGCTCCGCAGGAGGGGCCGCTGGGTGGCTTTTACTTCACGACCAAGACCGAGAAATTATTTACGGAACCTGTACATCTTTTTATGAAACTTTTAAGCACCAGGCTGTTTACTTACACAACTTAGCTCTGCCAGAAAATTCTATCTGTGATAGATCTGTAAAGAGGGACAAGGGGGTTAGAGTTTACTATTTTTGAAGTTTACATTGTTACATACGAAATGGAAACCTTATTTTGAAATGTTGTCATAACCCAAAGGTGCACTCTGTAACCATGGAGTCTTTCGTTCCATAGGGGCAATGGGCATTCATGACCTGAACTTTTTAGCAAATTACTATTCTCAGTTTCCATTACCTGTTTGGCCAAACAAATTAATAAACTATTTAAAAAGAAGCATTTAGTGCTGTCTTGTTGGCCGCGTGGCTGCATTCCTGCTCCGCTGGCTCTGGCTTCCTTGTTCGCCTTCCACTTCCTCCAGCAGGTGCCACCGCCCTTCCCGCCGGGCACCCAGAGCCACCGCCCGCATCGGGAAGAACATCTCACTATGCAGACCGACTGGCCCTTCACAAGGGCGACACGTGGCTCAGTCAGCCAGGCCTGGCTGCGCTTCCTCCCCCCGCCGCCCACATGCGGCACGTGCCCTCTCTCCGCCAGGGGCCTGCCCTCGGCTCAGCCCCGGCCGCATCCGGCTCCCTCCCCTTCTCAGACAGGCTCCACCACCCAGCGGACGCTGGGCTCTCGTAGCTGCCTCAGAGTGCCAGCCTGGGTCCCCCGACCGACAAGGTCCCCCAACTCGGCTTCCACACCTGACTTCCGCCTCGGGCGTCCTCACCTAACCCGGCCCCACGGAGAACGCGGTTTACGGCTTTGATGGTGGCTCCCCCGCTGTTCAGGCGGGGGGCTGGCGGCTGTGAGGTCCCACGTCTCTCACCCTGCAGCTGCAAGGGCTGGGTTTGCTAAGGGGGGCGTGAGCAGAGAGGTGACGAGTCTCTTTAGGGCACCTGTCCTGCCCCCCACACCTAGAGCATCTACACACCACGCGCCCGCTGCTACGTGGGGTCAGAACCAGGAGGGCTACCTGCCCAGAGCAGGGCTCTCCCTGCCCGGTGAGCCCAGGTGTGCACTCTGAGGGGCAGTAGCCCCTGGACCAGTCACCCCCGCGACTCTCTCTGGGCTCCAAACCCTCCAGTTACCCCAAGGAGCCAAGCAGACCTATCCTGCGTAAGCCATAACGTGAAAAATTAGCAAACCCTACATTCAAGCAGATTCACCTCATTCTCCCACTGGGCAGGAAAGCCTACGAAGACCCAAAAGAACTGAAAGCGGGGCTCAAAAAGGTCCTTGTACACCCGTGGTCACAGCGGCATTATCCACACCCAGTGGCCCAGGTGGGAGCAACCCCAGTGTCCGCCAGGGGAAGAATGGATGAGCACGCGGTCCAGCCATATAATGTCGATGTCGTGTACGAGAATAAGAAATGGTAAGGCAGGAGCTGAGACCTGGTGACAGGCACTTTGCCTTTCATATACATAGTTGGAGGTAGTATTGTTATTAGATTGCATTTTAACATATTAATTAGAGGAGTTTACTTTTTCTCGTTTTATTGAGATATAATGATATACGACATATCAGTTTCAGGTGTAAACATAGTGATTTGATATTTGTATGTATATTGCAAAATGATCACAACAGTAAGTTTAGTTAACATCTGTCACCTCACACAGTTTTTTGTGCGATGAGAACTTTTCATCTCTATTCTTAGCCACTTTCGAATACACAATATTGTTAACTATAGTTACCCTGTTGCACGTTACATCCTATGACTTACTTATAACCAGAAGTTTGTGCCTTTTAGCCACCCTCAGCCGCCTCCCACCCCCTACCCCCACTCCCTGTTTATGAATTTGGCTTATTTAGATTCCACCGTGAGCAAGGTTGTATGATATTTGTCTCTGACTTATTTCACTTATAAATGCCCCCTGGGTCCATGCAGGTTGCTGCAAATGGCAAGATTTCATTCTTTTTCCTGGCTGAATATTCTATGTTATGTGCGCACCATGTGTTGGATAAAGAACATTCATCCAGCAATGAGCACGAAGTTGCCTCCATGTCTCAGCTCTTGTAAACAACGCTGCCCTGAACACGGCTGTGCAGATGTCTCTCCGAGAGAGGGGTTTTGTTTCTTTCAGACATATACCCAGAAGTGGAATTGCTAGATCCTATGGTAGTTCTATTTTTGATTTTTTAAGGAGCCTGTATACTGTTTTCCATAGTGACTACACAATTTGCATTCTCTTTATTTAACTACATTTTAAAGGCATTTAAGGCAACATTTTTAAATTGGGAGGTTTCACATAAAAATGAAGTCTCTTGAATGACTTCTCTTGAAAGAAGTTTCCAGAAAATTAGGCCTACATTGCATAAGCAAAAATCAGCTGACCCTTGTTGTGGGCACAGCCTTCAGCCACGCCGTGTTCACTAGTACCTGCGGGTGCGTCCGCACCGGCCTGGGCTCCGCTGGCCTTTGAGGATACGCCTCCCGCCGTGTGCAGTTTGGGGCACAAGGGCACGAGGTAATAGGCAAACCCAGATGGAGGCGAATACGGACACACGCCAGCGGTGCGGGGAGGTGCGTGTCCGTCAGCGTCTGCGGCAGAAGATAGGGCTAGAGGGGTAGGCAGAGCCCAAATCATGGATTCTCTTTCCGGCGCCCACCTTTTTCTGACTGTCACACAAACTGACCCGGACTGAGAGGCGTGCGTGGCGAACAGCCCACGGGAGGCAGGCGCTCCTCCTTCACTGCGCAGCGCGGTGGGGCTCCAGGGGGCGCGGGCCGCGGACGGCTGTCTCCATCTCCCAAGAAGAGCGGAAAGGGGGCGCTCGCGCACGCCCGGCTGGTGGAGCGGGAGGGTCCTGCAGCCGCACCGCGGGTGCGCGGGCGCTGCGCTCAGACAATTAGCTAATGGAAGGGAGGGCCGGTTGCTTTCAATACAGAGAGGTGACCGGATCAATCCAGCAGGCAGCGACACAGACGGCAAAGAATCAATACGGAGGGCGCTTCAGCTCCCAGGCGGACAGGGGTCCGCGTGCGTCTCCGGTGAAAAGTCGGCAGCAGCAAAGTCAAAACTAAAAATAGAAACTCTTTTAACTTATGGGAACTCGGAAGTGTATGCTATACAGCTGATTTTATTAATGTTAGAATTAATAATAGATGTTTGCAGGAAACACTACATATTTCCAAACAATTCGACCATTGGGAATCCTGAGACTCTTTTAGGCTGTTGCTCGGTTATTTTACATGTCACTTATGATGAGAAATCAATTCTAAAAAATCTCTATAAATGTTCCGGAGTCTATATCTGTACTTACCATTTCGTCTGTACTAAATAGTTGGTCACTGTCAACCTGAATCTGGGAATCCTTCTGAAGATTTAATACTAAAAACTAAAGTGATTGCTTCATCACCTCTGGTATTTTGGTAGGATGCATTATTCTACTAATTAAGTGGAATATTCAGTACCGTTTCAGCTTTGCAGCAACGAGAAGACATGCAGCCATTGCGAAGAGCCCGCGGCTTCCCTCTCAGTTCAGGCTCCGCCGGGCGCCCTGTGTGGGGGAGCGGGGAGAGGCTCCTTAGGTCGGCCCTGCGGGCAGGCCCGCCGCCCGCGCTCTCGGCCGTGGCCCCCGGGAAACCCTGGTGCGGCCACTCTTCTGAGGCTCAGCACGCCGCCTCCGCGAGGGCCTTCTCGACGTCCAAAATCTGTCCCTGGTAAGGGCCATCCACGGAGCCCATCAATTTATTTAACCAGAATTCTCTTAAATGACTAGCCAGTAAGTCACCTAAAAGGCCCTGAAATGGGACATAGGGCAGCACAGCGTTTTGTCGTAGTCAGCTATTGAAACAATAGTGCTGCACCCAAAAACCACCTCGTGCCCTGGCTGGGCGGGTCAGCTGCTTGGAGCATCAGCCTGTGCACCAAAGGTTGCGGGTTCAATCCCCCATCAGGGCACATACGGGAGGCGCGCTCTCTCTCTCTCTCTCTCTCGCTCTCTCTCTCTCTCTCTCTCGCTCTCTCTCTCTCTCTCTCTCTCATCCCCGGGTGAGGATTAAAATATATATCTATACCTAAAAATCCACCTCGCACTCAGTGGTTTATGACGAGCAGGTGTC